TCAGGATTCAGAAAGAGACACAGCACCATCACTGCCACAATGAAAGTGGTGAATGATATTACGAGTATCTTAGATAATAAGCAGAGTTGTGCAGCTCTGTTTATTGACCTTTCCAAAGCATTTGATACCGTCGATCATCGCATTTTAAAGCAGAGGCTACTCAGTATTGGCATATCCAGCCATGCAGTGGGTTGGTTTGTGAACTACCTCTCTGAAAGGTCCCAATGTGTTCATTTTGATGGACTGTCTTCTGAGTGGTTAAACATGTCTAATGGTGTACCACAAGGTTCTGTTTTAGGACCACTTTTATTCTCCATATATATTAACAACGTAGGTGATAATGTGGATGAAGCTACTTTACATTTGTATGCGGATGATACTGTGATGTATTGTGCAGGTCCCTCCATTAAAGAGGCTGTTGTTAAATTACAGGCTGTTTTTAACATTATTCAGACTCAGCTCTCTGAACTAAAGCTTATTTTAAATGTTGATAAAACCAAGGTAATGCTCTTTTCAAAAGCAAAAAAGACACCAGAGCCTGTTTTAGATATTGTAACTACGCAAGGAACAAAACTTGAAGTTGTTGCCTGTTACAAATACCTTGGTATCTGGCTTGATGATTGTCTCTCTTTTAAACTTCATGTCAATAACCTGCTTTAAAAACTGAGGGTTAGGCTAGGGTTCTTTTTTAGAAACAAGTCCTGTTTCTCGCTTGAGGCCAGGAAAAGGCTAGTCACTGTGACCTTTTTACCTGTGCCCGACTATGGTGATTTGTTGTATATGAATGCACCTGCCAATTACCTGAGCAAATTGGATGCTGCGAATCACAGTGCTCTGAGATTTGTCACAAATTGTAAAGCGCTTACACATCACTGTACACTGTATACCAAGGCAGGTTTACCATCACTTTCTGTACGGAGGCTCAGTCACAGGTACTTTTATTTATAAAGCTATGTTGGGCAAACTCCCGTATTACATCTGTTCTCTGGTAAAGCAGAAAGTTGCAAGCAGCTATTGTCTGAGATCGCAGGATGTAGTCTTGTTAGATGTACCAAGAGTAAGGACTGTTTTAGGTCAGACAGCTTTTATGTGCCCAGCTCCACTTGCTTGGAACAGCCTACAGTCCAAATTGAAATTGAGCAATTTTATTTCTCTGAATGTTTTTAAGGCACGTCTGCACAAGATGCTTTCTGACACTATGGGTGTTTGTAAGTGTTGGTAAATATGATGTCCTCTATTGTTTCTTTTTATGTTGTTTTTATGTTTCATGTGGAACTAAATTGATGCAGGTCTCCCTTGTAAAAGAGATCCATGATCTCAAGGGACCTATCTGTCTAAATAAAGGTTTGAAATGAAATGAAATGAATGGGCAGGTGCATTCATATAGACCAGATTACCATAGTCCAGCACAGGTCAAAAGGTCACAGAGCCTTTTCCTGGCCTCAAGCGAGAAACAGGACTTGTTTCTGAAAAGAAACCTAGTCTAACCCTCAGCTTTTTAAGCAGGTTATTGACATGAACTTTAAAAGTGAGACAATCATCAAGCCAGATACCAAGGTATTTGTAACAGGTAACCACTTTTCTTTTTTTTTGTCCTTGCATAGTAACAATATCCAAAACATGCTCTGGAGTCTTTTTAGCTTTTGAAAATAGCATTACCTTGGTTTTATTAACATTTAAAATAAGCTTAAGTTCAGAGAGCTGAGTCTGAATAATGTTAAAAACAGCCTGTAATTTAACACCAGCCTCCTGAATGGAGGGACCTGCACAGTACATCACGCTATCATCCGCATACAAATGTAAAGTAGCTTCATTCACATTTTCACCTAAACTGTTGATATGGAGAATAAAAGTGGACCTAAAACAGAACCTTGAGGAACACCATTAGTAATGTTTAACCACTCAGAAGACAGCCCATCAAAGTGAACACATTGGGACCTTTCAGAGAGGTAGTTCACAAACCACCCACTGCATGGCTGGATATGCCAATACTGAGTAGCCTCTGCTTTAAAATGTGATGATCGACGGTATCAAACGCTTTGGACAGGTCAATAAATAGAGCTGCACAACTCTGCTTATTATCTAAAATACTCGTAATATCATTCACCACTTTCATTGTGGCAGTGATGGTGCTGTGTGGCTTTCTGAAGCCTGACTGATCTTTAGACAGGATGTCATTCTTACATAAAAACTCCTTTACCTGTTCACTCACTAAGCGTTCAAGAACCTTAGCCAGAACTGATCATTTAGAGATTGGCCTATAGTTATTTAATAAGGTGACCTACCCTCCTTTTAGCAAAGAAAGGACATACGCTGACTTCCATACTTTTGGAATTGCATTTGAGCTGAGGGAGAGGTTAAAAAGAGTAGTGAGAGGTGGAGCAATAAAATCTGCAGCTATCTTTAAAAAGAAAGGCTCTACGTTGTCCGGGCCAGCCAGTTTCTTAGGATGTAACTTGGTTAAGGCTTCATGAACAACATCAACAGTAAAAGGAGTAAAACTGAAAGGCTTTTCCAGACCACATTGTTCAGAGTCACGGATTAGGGTGTTCACAGAAGCAGAGTTAGAAACAGAATCAAATAGAGAGCCACAGGACACAAAATGCTCATTAAAGAAATGTAACATAGTAGCCCTGTCCGATATAGTGCCAGATGCTGTGGTAAGGCACGGAGGTAGCTCATTACGGATCTCACTGGTGGATATCGATTTTATGGCTTTCCAAAATTTCCTAGGATTATTCAGGTTTTCTGTGGTAACTGACAGATAGTACTTCGACTTTGCACTTTTGACATGTGAAGTGAAGCTATTCCTTAGCTGCCTGAAACGCAGCCATTCTACCTCTGGTCCTGATTGCCTAGCCTTTGCCCAGGCCTTGTTTCTCTCATGTAGGAGAATAGATAATTCAGCAGAAAACCAAGGAGTGTATCGTCCCTTCACTCTAAATGTACGCAGGGGTGCATGTCTATCAATGATCTCCATAAAACCAAGATAAAAATAAGACCATGCAATTTCTACATCAGCACACAGATCGATTTTACCCCAATCAAACCCAAACAGATCATGAACAAAACCCTGCTCAACAAAATGTTTTATGTCTCTCTTAATAATAATACAAGGTTTAACCTTTTGGACCTTAGTGTCCCTAATTGTGGCTACAACACGGTGATCACTCAGATCATTCGCAAATACTCCCACAGATGAGTATTTATGGGGAACATTAGTTAGAATGAGATCAATTAGGGAGGATTTATTAGGGGACTTAATGTTAGGGCGAGTTGGACTGTCAACAATCTGAGTAACATTCAAAGAGATACAAAGGTTTTTTAAATCCTCTGACACTGCAGTTAACCAGTCCCAGTTAAAATCTCCAAGTAGCACTATTTCCTTGTAGTCTAGCTGCGATAAAAGATTTGCGAGCAAAGACAAGGAGTCTTTGACAGCTGAGGGGGGTCTGTAACAGCCCACCACCATGACCTGTTGCCCCTTTGCCACTTCTATATTTAAGGCTAAAAATTCGAATTGCTTACTGATCGATTTGGAAACTAATGTGGTTACACTGAACTTGTTCTTAACATAAATGGCAACGCCACCACCTTTATGAGGCCGGTCGGAACGATACACATTATAACCATTTAAAGCAATGTCAGAGGCCAAAATAGATTTGTTTAGCCATGTTTCTGATAAAACAATGACATCAGCGTCAGTCGAGCTCGCCCAAATGCGGACAAAATCTAGTTTAGCTAACAGACTGCGCACATTCAAGTGGATGAAACCCAAACCAGACCTAGCTTTAAAATCAGCAGGAGTAGCAATCTGACTACTACTACTGGGCGGACCAGGGTTAGGTTGTACATTTCCTGACAGTAATAACAACAACAAAACAAGGCATATTTTCCTCTTAAGCGACACACATACATTGTCATCTACTTTAGAAACACCGGAAATGTCAGCGAGAGTGTGATTTGAGCTTAAGAAGCAGTCCTGAAGAACCATCATCGCAGGAAAACAAAAAAGACAACGGTGTCTGTGACAAGACAACCGGTAATTGTTTGAGCAACACATCCGAACCTTTGCAAGGGATGCCCACTGCGGGTGGCAGAACAGACCTGAGTCCAGTAGACTTCTCAGAATGACTAGAGATCTTCTCACAGTCCAAAACAGTTAACAGGCACAGCAGAATCCCGATATGGGCCATTTTCCCAGACCAGCACACAGTATCCGCGATGCTCCTGGAGCAAAATCATCACAGCAGCAAAGGACAGGCAAAAACAGCAGCGTGGAAGGGCTCCGGTCCCTCCGTGGTAACCCCGGGGTGAAAGCAGGCCTCTGCAACAGCAGAACCAGGACAGGTGGAAAGCACGCCCCAGCCGTGGTAAAATCCTCCTCCGCACAGCAGCACACGCCCGGTGGAAGCAGGCCAAGCCCGAAGCGTGGATCCACTCCGTCTCTCCGCGACGACTCCGGGGTAAAAACCTCTCCAGTACAGCCGTACTCTACAGGTGGGAGCAGGCCTCCGTAGATTGCAGATCGCAGATCGCAGGCAGCAACAGGTGGAGCCACTCCGTCTCTTCGCGACGAGCAGGCCTCCGTAGATCGCAGATCGCAGGCAGCAATAGCTGGAGCCGCTCCGTCTCTTCGTGACGTCTCCGGGGGAAAAACACCTCAGCACAGCCGTACTCTACAGGTGGGAGTAGGCCTCCGCAGATCGCAGACAACTAAAACTACTACTTGCAGGGATGGCTAAAAGTTTGTAAGCAGGAGAGCTAAATGCTAACAGATGCCAGATGCTAACAGGTAGTGGGAGCCTGTAAAAACTGTGACTGCCTCACGCGAGTGCACGTGACTTTGTGTGACACCTGTCAACACTGCACCATCTGTAGGTACACCTGTCAACACTGCACCATCTCTAGGTACACCTGTATATAAACACTGCACCATCTGTAGGTACAACTGTATATAAACACAGTACCTGCTGGTGTTCACCTGGCTTTGTTTGTAGTGGACCACGTGCTGGTGGAGCCAGGAACTAATTTACTGACGGCCTTCCAGCAGTGGAGGGATATGGCAGAGCAGAAGGCGTGCTGCGACTTCTCCGCTCACCTGGACATCACGCGCTGGCACGACGGTCTGACCGAGGAGGTGGAGGCGCTCGTCAAGGACCAAGGTCAGATTCACTTTCATACCTGTAGAGAGACACTTCCTGCAGAGACACCTGAGGTCCCCATCATACCTGTAGAGACACCTGAGGTCCCCATCATACCTGTAGAGACACCTGAGGTCCCCATCATACCTGTAGAGACACCTGAGGTCCCCATCATACCTGTAGAGACACCTGAGGTCCCCATCATACTTGTAGAGACACCTGAGGTCCCCATCATACCTGTAGAGACACCTGAGGTCCCCATCATACCTGTAGAGACACCTGAGGTCACCATCATACCTGTAGAGACACCTGAGGTCCCCATCATACCTGTAGAGACACCTGAGATCAGCATCATACCTGTAGAGACACCTGAGGTCCCCATCATACCTGTAGAGACACCTGAGGTCCCCATCATACCTGTAGAGACACCTGAGATCACCATCATACCTGTAGAGACATCTGAGGTCACCATCATACCTGTAGAGACACCTGAGATCACCATCATACCTGTAGAGACACCTGAAATCACCATCATACCTGTGTAGAGACACCTGAGGTCCCCATCATACCTGTAGACACCTGAGGTCCCCATCATACCTGTAGAGACACCTGAAATCACCATCATACCTGTGTAGAGACACCTGAGGTCCCCATCATACCTGTAGAGACACCTGAAATCACCATCATACCTGTAGAGACACCTGAGGTCACCATCATACCTGTAGAGACACCTGAGATCACCATCATACCTGTAGAGACACCTGAGGTCACCATCATACCTGTAGAGACACCTGAAATCACCATCATATCTGTAGAGACAGCTGAGGTCCCCATCATACCTGTAGAGACACCTGAGATCACCATCATACCTGTAGAGACATCTGAGGTCACCATCATACCTGTAGAGACACCTGAGATCACCATCATACCTGTAGAGACACCTGAAATCACCATCATACCTGTGTAGAGACACCTGAGGTCCCCATCATACCTGTAGAGACACCTGAGGTCCCCATCATACCTGTAGAGACACCTGTAATCACCATCATACCTGTAGAGGCACCTGAGGTCCCCATCATACCTGTAGAGACACCTGAGGTCCCCATCATACCTGGAGAGACACCTGAGGTCTCCATCATACCTGTAGAGACACCTGAGGTCACCATCATACCTGTAGAGACACCTGAAATCACCATCATACCTGTAGAGACACCTGAGGTCCCCATCATACCTGTAGAGACACCTGAAATCACCATCATACCTGTAGAGACACCTGAGGTCCCCATCATACCTGTAGAGACACCTGAAATCACCATCATACCTGTAGAGCCACCTGAGCTCCCCATCATACCTGTAGAGACACCTGAGGTCCCCATCATACCTGTAGAGACACCTGAGGTCCCCATCATACCTGTAGAGACACCTGAGGTCCCCATCATACCTGTAGAGACACCTGAGGTCACCATCATACCTGTAGAGACACCTGAAATCACCATCATACCTGTAGAGACATCCGAGGTCACCATCATACCTGTAGAGACACCTGAGGTCCCCATCATACCTGTAGAGACACCTGAGATCACCATCATACCTGTAGAGACACCTGAGGTCCCCATCATACCTGTAGAGACACCTGAAATCACCATCATACCTGTAGAGACACCTGAGGTCTCCATCATACCTGTAGAAACACCTGAGGTCACCGTCATACCTGTAGAGACACCTGAGGTCCCCGTCATACCTGTAGAGACACCTGAGGTCCCCGTCATACCTGTAGAGACACCTGAGGTCTCCATCATACCTGTAGAAACACCTGAGGTCACCGTCATACCTGTAGAGACACCTGAGGTCCCCGTCATACCTGTAGAGACACCTGAGGTCCCCGTCATACCTGTAGAGACACCTGAGGTCCCCATCATACCTGTAGAGACACCTGAGGTCACCATCATACCTGTAGAGACACCTGAAATCACCATCATACCTGTAGAGACATCTGAGATCACCATCATACCTGTAGAGACACCTGAGGTCCCCATCATACCTGTAGAGACACCTGAGATCACCATCATACCTGTAGAGACACCTGAGGTCCCCATCATACCTGTAGAGACACCTGAAATCACCATCATACCTGTAGAGACACTTGAGGTCTCCATCATACCTGTAGAGACACCTGAGTTCCCCATCATACCTGTAGAGAAACCTGCAATCACCATCATACCTGTAGAGACACCTGAAATCACCTTCATACCTGCGTAGAGACACCTGAAATCACCATCATACCTGCGTAGAGACACCTGAGGTCCCCATCATACCTGCAGAGACACCTGAGGTCCCCATCATACCTGTAGAGACACCTGAGGTCCCCATCATACCTGTAGAGACACCTGAGGTCCCCATCATACCTGTAGAGACACCTGAGGTCCCCATCATACCTGTAGAGACACCTGAGGTCCCCATCATACCTGTAGAGACACCTGAGGTCCCCATCATACCTGTAGAGACACCTGAGGTCCCCATCATACCTGTAGAGACACCTGAAATCACCATCATACCTGTAGAGACACCTGAGGTCCCCATCATACCTGTAGAGACACCTGAGATCACCATCATACCTGTAGAGACACCTGAGGTCACCATCATACCTGTAGAGACACCTGAGGTCCCCATCATACCTTTAGAGACACCTGAGGTCCCCATCATACCTGTAGAGACACCTGAGGTCCCCATCATACCTGTAGAGACACCTGAAATCACCATCATACCTGTGTAGAGACACCTGAAATCACCATCATACCTGTAGAGACACCTGAGGTCACCATCATACCTGTAGAGACACCTGAGATCACCATCATACCTGTAGAGACACCTGAGGTCACCATCATACCTGTAGAGACACCTGAGGTCCCCATCATACCTGTAGAGCAATGACCTGCGGTGAGGTTCATGGCTGGTGACGCACTGAGCCTTTCAGTCAGATTTACAAATATTATATTTTGACCTTAATCGAAATATTTTGTTATTTTCAAAAGCTTTTTTAGTCTGATGCTATGATTCATTTTAAACAGACCGTTCAACAAAAGGATACCCAAAAAGTAAGATCCCATTCTCATTACAATGGTGGTCTTACCTTGACTTGACTTGAAGTCCATGCTATCCTTCTCGACAACAATCTCTATTACTTTTTTGTAAAAGTCCTCCTTATCTTCCTCTAGTTTCAAAAGTCTAGTTTGTTGTTCGCGTCTACCGTCTCTGCGTAGAATAACAGTAGCAACAAGAACCTGTGGGCTCACGTGCGCCCCCTTCAGTGCGGCACAGGTTATGGCTGCCTCCCCTGGTGCTTTCTCATTGCCGTTGTATGATGAGACCAGTGAGCCTAAATATCATTGTGACGGGGCTCTATTTGTCCGTTCACAAACACTGGCCTAGTCGGTTGGGTTACGCTCCAAAAAAATATATACGAACCAGCATACCTTAAACAAACAAAATAAAAGACAAAAACAGGCCGTCCATCACTCATTCAGAGTAAACGTGTTCTGGCTGTTGCCTTCTCTGCAACAAACCCCCGAACACGTCCCAGCTGTTGCCTTCACTGCAACATTCTTCAGAGTGCCACAGTCCAAAAAAACCCGTCCCTTATGAGCCCATAGCCCCTCCCACAGGCTTACCGTCAACAGGTGACACAATTAGCTCAAAACCACATTTCAACATAAAAATCCGACCCAAACATAAAACAGGTTAACCACCTCTTAATACAATCATTCCCCATAATTAACAAAAGTAAAAATAAATAAGAAATTGCATGGTTCATTTGACGGAAGAGAGCAGGAAATGTTTGGTGTGTCGGCTGTCAGTGGCGGAGTCAGTCACTCTGTGACCCGCTCCGTCACAATCATACGTGAAATAAGTTATTTAGAGACTATGGATGGCGAGGATAAATGTAATATAGGGATCTACAAACATTACATTGGTGACCTACCGCTTTCCAGACAGTTTATGTGGGGTGACGCATTCTGAGGTGAGGCAGAGCTCATCTGTGCCTCACCTCACCCCACAGTAACTGGCTGGAGCGCGCTCACAAAATAAGTGCCCGCGCTAAATTAGTGTCCGTGCTCCAGCCAGTTTCTGTGGGGTGACGTGAGGCAGAGCTCGTCCCTGCCTCTCTTCTCATCGCTCCCATGTAGTTGTTGCGGAGTTCGGCAAATTTGCCAATTTTGACTATAAAAAGCGATTGGAATCATACAGAAATCACATTTACATCACAGATCAGTGGAGACATTTTATTATTATTATTATTTAGTTTTTCTTTAGTTGTTTTTCCGTGTCACCTGACTGCACGTCGCTGCTGTAGGTCCCTGGACAGGTGTAGGACACCTGAGGTCCCCATCATACCTTAAAGCCCGTGTCACACTGTCCCGAAATTCACACCCGATGGACACACGAATATGGAATTGTGAATTTTGCACGAAGATGGCCCCGAACCACACACGAAGGCAACATTTACATTACATTTAAGACATACAACTGCAATGAAAGTAACACAAACAATTATGTTACAGTACTATGATACTGTACTGATATATTCAGACTTTGTTCTTTACTTTATCCGTCGTTATATGTAGAAAATATTACGTTTTCTCCGTAATGTTGTTTCCATAACAACAACAACTTCCTGTCAACTGTCCTTCAAAATAATATATTATATCCTTTTTAGTTTCACAGAACACAAATTGGGTTATTTACATAATATATTTACATGATTTTGTTGTGCAATAAAACAACCCGATGGACACATGATAAAGGAAATGTTCAAATTCGGCTGTGATCATAGCAACATCGGGCCATTCGTGAGGGCATCTTAAGCCTTCGTATGACCGCCGGTGGAGTTTCTCAGGCTTCGGCAGCAACTTCGTGAGCGGTGGCAAAATCTTTGGCATGCCAAAAAATTACCGAAGGACCTTGCGAAGATTCATTTTTCGTGTTGAATTTGTGTGTCAATTTTTCCCTTCGTAAGGCCATCGTGAGGGCATCTTGTTATCATCGGTGCCATCGGGCATTCACCCCGATCAGAGTGAGGGCGAATGCCCGATGGCACCGATGATAACATGAAGATGACTCGATTTGACAAGATGCCCTCACGAGTGCCTTACGAAGTTGCCGCTCACGAAGTTACTGACGGAGCCTGAGAAACTCCACCGGCGGTCATACGATGGCTTAAGATGCCCTCACGAATGGCCCGATGTTGCTACGATCAGAGCCAAATTTGAACATTTCCTTTATCGTGTGTCCATCGGGTGTCAATTTCGGGACAGTGTGACAGGGGCTTTAGAGAGAGACTTCCTGCTGAGTCACGTGACCTCAAATTTATCTGCAGGAAGGTGAGACACCTGAATCTCAGATTTACTAAAAGGTAAATACCTCTGTTTCAGGTGTGAACTCCTTCCTGTTCTTCATGTCCTACAAAGACAGATACCAGAGCTCCGACTCACAGGTGAGCCACGCTCAGATCACTTCAGTAAACAATATCTTTAATGTAATATAAACCATGTTATTATTCTGCCTGAATCCACTTCCTGTCTCCTGCTCTCAGCTCTACGAGGCGTTCGGGGTCCTCCGGGATCTCGGAGCCATCGCTCAGGTGCACGCTGAGAACGGAGACATCATAGAGGAGGTAATCACAACGGAAAGTAAAGGGGAGTCAAGGGAAGGGAGGTAAAGTAAAAGGAAGTAAAGTCATTTTTCCGTAATCAGGAGCAGAAGAAGCTGCTCTGTCTCGGCATCACCGGACCTGAAGGACACGTTTTATCTCACCCTGAGGAGGTACCAATGCCTTTAACAAACCTGTATAACACTTCTATAATACCTGTAACACACCAGTATAACACCTGTAACACACCTGTTATTAAAGCTCCATCACACCTGTCATTACTCCTGTAAGACACCTGTATATATTATGGTCCTCAGGTGGAGACGGAGGCGGTTTACCGGGCCATCACCATCGCCAAACAGGCCAACTGCCCGCTGTACGTTACCAAGGTGATGAGCAAGTCCGCCGCTGACATCATTGCCAAGGCCAGGAAGAAAGGTGAGGTCATCGTGAGATTTACCTGTATATTAAAAAATATATTTAAAGATAAATGACCCCCCCCCCCCCCCCTCAGCTCCAGGTCCCTTCACTGCAATAAGGTTTTCCTGTTTCTGTCCTCAGGTATGGTGGTCTACGGGGAGCCAATCACAGCCGGCCTGGCCACTGACGGCTCTCACTATTGGTCCAAAGACTGGGCCACTGCTGCTGCCTTCGTCATGAGCCCCCCCCTCAACCCAGACCCCTCAACGCCTCAGAGCCTGGTTTCTCTGTTAGCATGGTTAGTACCTGTTAGCATGGTTAGCTCATGTTAGCTTGGTTAGCTCCTATTAGCATGGTTAGAACCTGCTAGCATGGTTAGCAGCTGTTCGCATGGTTAGAACATGTTAGCATAGTTAGTACCTGTTAGCATAGTTAGTACCTATTAGCACCTGACCTCCCTGTTAGCATTAGTACCTGACCTCCCCGTTAGCATTAGTACCTGACCTCCCTGTTAGCATTAGTACCTGCCTGTTAGCATGGTTGCTAAGCTGTCGTCATGGTTGCAGTGGAGACCTCCAGGTGACGTCCAGCGCTCAGGCCAGCTTCTCTACGGCTCAGAAGGCCGTGGGTAAAGACGACTTCACGCTGATCCCTGAAGGCACCAGCGGCATCGAGGAGAGGCTGTCGGTCGTCTGGGACCGCGGCGTGGTGAGGGACCTCTGAAGGTCACACATAGTCATCTATAACAGGAAGATCTAACGTTATACATATATAGAGTGTCTACAAATGTTCCCCTCTGGACTAATAGGAGACATTGTGCTGTGTGTAGAAGATAAAGTGTGTAGAATAAAGTGTGTATAAAGTGTGTCTGCCAAACGGCTCGCTGCACCCGCACTGCGAGGGGGACCCAAGTTCCCATCAGCAAAAACACGTGGGTTTGCTATCCTGGCTCCAAAATGGTGGAATGAGCTCCCCATTGACATCAGGACAGCAGATAGCTTACACATCTTCCGGCGCAGACTGAAAACTCATCTCTTTCGACTCCACTTCCAGCCATAGAATTACTAACAAAGCACTTATATACTAATAAAGGACTGGCTTATCTAAAGCCAGTTGAGTAGCACTTGAGATGTTTTGGCTCTATGAAACCTGATGTACTTACAGTGGGGCAAAAAAGTATTTAGTCAGCCACCAATTGTGCAAGTTCTCCCACTTAAAAAGATGAGAGAGGCCTGTAATTTTCATCCTAGGTACACTTCAACTATGAGAGACAGAATTGGGGGAAATAATCCAGTAAATCACATTGTAGGATTTGTAATGAATGAATTGGTAAATTCCTCTGTAAACTAAGTATTTGGTCACCTACAAACAAACAAGATTTCTGGCTCTCACAGACCTGTAACTTCTTCTTTAAGAGCCTCCTCTGTCCTCCACTTGTTAACTGTATTAATGGCACCTGTTTGAACTCGTTATCAGTATAAAAGACACCTGTCCACAACCTCAAACAGTCACACTCCAAACTCCACTATGGCCAAGACCAAAGAGCTGTCAAAGGACACCAGAAACACAATTGTAGACCTACACCAGGCTGGGAAGACTGAATCTGCAATAGGTAAGCAGCTTGGTGTGAAGAAATCAACTGTGGGAGCAATTATTAGAAAATGGAAGACATACAAGACCACCGATAATCTCCCTCGATCTGGGGCTCCACGCAAGACCTCACCCCGTGGGGTCAAAATGATCACAAGAACGGTGATCAAAAATCCCAGAACCACACAGGGGGACCTAGTCAATGCAGAGAGCTGGGACCAAAGTAACAAAGGCTACTATCAGTAACACACTACGCCGCCAGGCACTCAAACCCTGCAGTGTCAGACGTGTCCCCCTGCTGAAGCCAGTACATGTCCAGGCCCGTCTGAAGTCTGCTAGAGAGCATTTAGATCAGGGGTACTCAAATACAAATCTTAAAGGTCCAAAATAAATGTTTCAATAAGACAAAGGTCCGTTTATTACGGTCATTCAAACTTTTAAACAATTGCAACAAGATTCTTAACACGAGGTTGCAAAAACAAAAATAATCTGTATGCAGCAGTTTTCATTGTTATTGTGTCTGTGCTTGACCCCTCAGAGTCGCAGTGTAAGAGCTGCACAGTTATGAATAAAGGCAGCTGCACCCTCTTTCATTCAGCATTCCCATTATTGCTTTATAAATGTCTTGCCCCCTTGTGTGTCCACTGAGGTTCGTCAGGCCCAACACATCTTCAACAAACTCCCCCTTTGCCTCATCATAAAAACTCACAAACACCAGCAACTGAGCATTGTCAGTGGTGTCAGTGGACTCACCCACAGCTAAGGAAATGCACTGTGCATTTTTTATTCCATCACAAAGCTGATTAATCAAATCACCAGCCAGTATGTATGTTCTTCTGGTTGCTGTGGAATCTGAGAGGGGGATTTGCTTGATTTGACCTGTTATTTCCTCTTTTTGTTTGCCTTCAACATGGTCTCCATCAATTCAGTCATGCATTCTTTTATACTTCAGTTATTATCCAGTGGAAAGCCCTTACCTACTGGCCTAGTTAAATCAAAGTAGTTACTTTTTTTTGGCTGGGCAGTGAAGTTTTACACACCGTCTTATTTGACTTTCTCAGGACTTAAAACAGTTTTTTGGGGGCAGACCCCCTCAAAGAAAAAAATATATTTACACACACGTGGTCATCATCTTAAAGGTGGGGTAGGTAAGTTTGAGAAACCGGCTCGAGATACACTTTTTGTTATATTCCATGGAATGCTCTTAACATCCCGATAGCAATGAATATCTGAAGTATTTGACAAAAAAGCCATAAAAAAATGTCATCTGTGGAAGCCGTAATACTGTAAAAAGTACAACCAATCCGTTTAGCCGGGCCGGCTAAACGGATTGGATTGCCGCCCTGTCTGTCAGCCTTCCATCTCGTGCACGCACAAATGTATCTCGTGCCCTCATTGGGCGTGCATTGCAGCAGTACTTCAATGACTCGCCAGGCGGCCACTTTCACCAGTCTGCAGACGTCATGTGCGCGTTCATGTGTGTTGGAGGAGGTGCTCTGTAAGGAAGTCTGAAAGAAGGGGCGGATTCTTTTCGGCTGTGTATTTTCAAATTTTAGTGCACTCGAGTTGGTTTCTGAAACTTACCTACCCCACCTTTAATAGTTGTGTATGCTCATCCGTGAGCAGAGCATCAAGTTGACATGTCTATTACAGCTGAATGCGGCGATTACCATTTTGTTCAGCAAAACGCCTCACAAACGTATTAAGATCAACAGCTTTAGAGCGTTTTGATTCAATGCTGAGTACAGCCAAACAGTCTCTTCTTGTCAGTGTACACCGCAAATACCTCATTCCTTCAGTGCTTGGGTCCGAATGCTTCTCGTTTTGCGCCGTCCAGTTCAAAATGAAATCGCCGCCAATCGTATGTCCACGCTCGCGCCAGGACCGGGGGACGTGCATGACGTGCATCTTGTGCTGCATTCACTTGCACTCGGACATTAGAGACTTTCTCTCATAAATGTCCGATGAGCCACAACTTTTCTTTCAAAACAAAGCTGCCAACTGGGGTGGCAGCTGGGGTGGCAAGGCCTATTTTTAGGGTGTCAGTTGCCACCCCGGTAGGTGAAACTAGGCTACTAGCTACAGTACAGATGGAACTAGATGAGCTGTTAACTCTCGCTCTAAATTTTGTTTTTTTTAATTCTCGCTCTGACTTAGACAGGTTGAAAGAGACACACACATTTTTCCTACCCGCATTCCGCGAAGACCCGCCCTACTGTGCTTCTGATTCGCAGATTGTTTGGGGGGAAAAAATGCTGACTGGATGCTGAATGTGATTGGACCAAAGCGTTGACACACACAGGTGGAACACAGTGGAACAGTCAGACATGCAGAGCGCTGTTTGCAGTGGACATAGCGGAGAATTTTGACTCGTTGCGAATGCGTTGTGGCGATGTCTCACATATAATACAGAGAGATAATACATATGAAAACTATAATTTGCTCAGAGTCCGGAGACAGTGGTGGTTCGGTCCGGATCCGGACCGGAGTCCGTAGTTTGAGGATGCCTGATTTAGATGATCCAGAAGAGGATTGGGAGAATGTCATATGGTCAGATGAAACCAAAATAGAACTTTTTGGTAAAAACTCAACTAGACGTGTTTGGAGGAGAAAGAATGCTGAGCTGCATCCAAAGAACACCTACTGTGAAACATGGGGGTGGAAACATCATGCTTTGGGGCTGTGTTTCTGCAAAGGGACCAGGACCACTGATCTGTGTAAAGGAAAGAATGAATGGGGCCATGTATCGTGAGATTTCGACAACCTCCTTCCATCAGCAAGGGCATTGAAGATGAAACGTGGCTGGGTCTTTCAGCATGACAATGATCCCAAACACACCGCCCGGGCAACGAAGGAGTGGCTTCGTAAGAAGCATTTCAAGGTCCTGGAGTGGCCTAGCCAGTCTCCAGATCTCAACCCCATAGAAAATCTTTGGAGGGAGTTGAAAGTCCGTGTTGCCCAGCGACAGCCCCAAAACATCACTGCTCTAGAGGAGATCTGCATGGAGGAATGGGCCAACATACCAGCAACAGTGTGTGAACACCCTGTGAAGACTTACAGAAAACCTTTGACCTCTGTCATTGCCAACAAAGGGTATATAACAAAGCATTGAGATGAACTTTTGTTATTGACAAAATACTTATTTTCCACCATCATTTGCAAATAAATTCATTAAAAATCCTACAATGTGATTTCCTGGATTTTTTCCCCCCATCCTGTCTCTCATAGTTGAGGTGTACCCAGGATGAACATTACAGGCCTCTCATCTTTTTAAGTGGGAGAACTTGCACAATTGGTGGCTGACTAAATACTTTTTTGCCCTACTGTATATGATTCCGTTTTCTTCAAGTTTGTATCTTCTTGGTCGAATGCACTTATTGTAAGTCGCTTTGGATAAAAGCGTCAGCTAAATGTAATATAATGTAATGTGTAGTATATAAAGTGTGTATCTCTGCAGTGTTCGGGGAAGATGGATGAGAACGAGTTTGTTGCAGTGACAAGCACCAACGCCGCCAAGCTGTTCAACATGTACCCCCGCAAAGGTAACCATGACAACAGCAGGCTGAGTAATCTATACTCAGAGAAATACAAATGACACTCAGACATGAGTAATGGGTCATCTTGTGTTCAGGGAGGATCGCTGTGGGCTCGGACGCTGACCTCGTCGTCTGGAACCCTAAAGAGAGCCGGACCGTTTCTGCAAAGACTCACAACCTGGTAACTCTTAATCATCAGTGTTACCTCCTCTTCATCATCAGTGTTACCTCCTCTTCATCATCAGTGTTACCTCCTCTTCCTCCCCACAGAGTCTGGAGGTGAACATTCTGGAGGGTCTAGAGTTCCGGGGCGTTCCATCTGTTGTAATCTGCGGGGGTCGGGTGGTTCTTCAGGACGGGAAGCTGAACGTGAGCGAAGGATCTGGACGCTTCGTATACAGGAAGGCGTTCCCTGACACCGTGTACAAGAGGATCAGAGCCCGCAGCAAGGTGACCTAACCAACCATAACCTGGGTTAACTCGCTACATTACATTGCATTTAGCTGACGCTTTTATCCAAAGCGACTTACAATAAGTGCGTTCGACCAACAAAATACAAACTTGAAGAAAACAGAATCATATAACAACATCAGGTTTCATAGAGCCAAACATTTCAAGTGCTACTCAACTGGCTTTAGATAAGCCAGTCCTTTGTTAGTTTATAAGTGCTTTATTAGTAGTTCTATCGCTCGAAGTGGAGTCGAAATAGATGAGTTTTCAGTCTGGAAGGTGTGTAAGCTATCTGCTGTCCTGATGTCAATGGGGAGCTCATTCCACCATTTTCGAGCCAGGATAGCAAACACACGTGTTTCTGCTGATGGGAACTTGGGTCCCCCTCGCAGTGAGGGTGCAGCGAGCCGTTTGGTTGATGCAGAGCGTAGTGCACGTGCTGGGGTGTACGGTTTAACCATGTCCTGGATGTACGAAGGGCCAAATCCATTCACAGCATGGTGCGCAAGTACCAGTGTCTTGAAGTGGATTCTAGCAGTTACTGGAAGCCAGTGAAGGGAGCGGAGGAGCGGAGTGGTGTGAGAAAATTAAGGAAGGTTGAAGACCAGACAAGCCGCTGCATTCTGGATGAGCTGCAGAGGTCGGATGGCACATGCAGGTAGACCAGCCAGGAGGGAGTTGCAGTAGTCTAGGCGTGAGATGACGAGAGCCTGGACCAGAACCTGCGTGGCTTTCTGGGTCAGCTGGGGACGTATCCTCCTGATGTTGTAAAGCGTGTATCTGCAGCAGCGGGTTGTAGCATCGATGTTTGCAGTGAAGGACAGGTTGTTATCTAGGGTCACACCCAGATTCCTTGCAGTCTGAGTCGGGGAAACAACAGAGGTGCCGATGTTGATTGTTAGGTCAAAAGTGGGACAATCTTTTCCCGGAAGGAAAAGAAGTTCAGTCTTGTCAAGGTTGAGCTTGAGGTGATGAGCAGACATCCACTGAGAGATGTCTGCTAGACAAGCAGAGATGCGTGCGACAACCTGGGTCTCTGAGCGGGGAAAGGACAGAATTAATTGGGTGTCGTCAGCGTAGCAGTGGTATGAAAAACCATGCGGGCTAATGACTGATCCGAGCGAGTTTGTGTCCAAGGAGAAGAGGAGGGGACCAAGAACAGAGCCCTGAGGGACCCCTGTAGTTAATTGACAAGGGTCGGACTCGGACCCTCTCCAAGTGACCCTGTAGGTACGGTCTTTGAGGTATGAGGTGAGGAGGGAAAGTGCAGAGCCTGAAACTCCAAGTTCTTGGAGAGTGTGAAGGAGGATCTGATGGTTCACCGTGTCGAATGCAGCAGACAGGTCCAACAGGATGATGACAGAGGAGAGGGAGGCTGCTTTAGCCGTGTGCACTTCCTCCGTGACAGCAATGAGAGCAGTTTCTGTGGAGTGACCTGCCTTGAAACCAGACTGGTGCGGATCCAGAAGGTTGTTCTGATGGAGATAACAGGAGAGTTGTTTAAAGACAGCGCGTTCAAGTGTTTTAGACAGGAACGGGAGGAGAGAGACAGGCCTGTAGTTTATAACATCAGACGGGTTGAGAGTGGGTTTCTTTAGGAGAGGGTTTACTCTTGCCTCCTTGAGACTGTTTGGAAAGTGACCAGAAGTTAGAGAAGTGTTGATGAAATGGGTGAGAAACGGTAGAATATCAGGAGCGATAGTCTGAAGGAGGTTTTAGGGGATAGGGTCCAGAGGACAGGTGGTAGGGCAGGCAGAGGTAATGAGGGTAAGAACCTCACTTGGAGAGAGAGGGGAAAAGGAGGTTAGTGTGTGGGTGGAAGGGGGGTCTGGTGACCCAGCGGTGAGTAAAGGTGAGTCAGAAAAATAAGAGTGAATATCATCAACCTTTTTTTCAAAGTGGTTAACAAAGTCGCTTGACAGAAGGGAGGAGGGGGAAGGGGCTTTGGGGGGGTCCAGGAGGGAGGAGGGGGAAGGGGCTTTGGGGGGGTCCAGGAGGGAGGAGGGGGAAGGGGCTTTGGGGGGGTCCAGGAGGGAGGAGAAGATGGAAAATAGTTTTTTGGGATTGGAATAGGAAGATTGGATTTTATCTTGAAAGAAAGTGCTTTTTGCCTGAGAGATGGAAGCAGAGAAAGAGGAGAGCCTGATAGGTTAGGAGGTCGTCATGGTGTTTGGATTTCCACCGTTTCCGCTCTGCTGCCCGAAGGACGGTTCTATTAGCACGCAGTGCGTCATTTAGCCAGGGAGCAGGAGGGGACTGACGAGCCTGCCGAGATGTGAGAGGACAGAGAGAGTAGAGAGGAGAGTTTCTGCAGCAGAGTTTGGAGGTAGTAGTTGGAACGAGTCCGAGGAAGGGAGGGCTGAGAGCACCGATGAGGCAAAGGTAGAGGGGGAGAGGGAACGAAGGTTACGGCGGACAGGTGCAGGATGAGAAGAGATTAGTTTGTTATGTTTGGAAAGGGGTAGAGAGAATGAAATGAAGAAGTGATCGGATGTGTGGAGCGGGTTTACAGAGAGGTTAGAAGTAGAGCAGTTCCTTGAGAATATGAGATCAAGGACATTGCCAGCTTTATGAGTCGGTGGGGACGGAGACAGTGAGAAAGCAAAGGCGGTTAACAGAGATGTTAGTTCGTCTATCTTCCCTGTCTGGAGGTTGAAGTCTCCGAGAAGTACAGCGGGAGGGCCAGTTTCAGGGATGTGTGAGAGGAGATGATCTAATTCCTCCAAGAAGTCCCCCAAGGCGCCTGGTGGACGGTAGAGAACAACAATGGTTAATTGTACAGGATGGGTTACTGTGACGGCATGAAATTCAAAGGTGGAAGGAGTGAAGTTAGGTAGCTTGAAGAGGGAAAAGCTCCATTTGGGAGAGAGCAGGAGACCAGTGCCACCTCCTCTGCCAGTGGGTCTGGGTGTATGGGAGAAGGAATATGCAGTGGAGAGAGCTGCTGGGGTGGATGTGTTGGATGGAGTAATCCAGGTCTCAGTGAGAGCAAGGAAATCCAGAGACTGCAGGGAGGCATAGCCAGAGATGAAGTCAGCCTTAGGAACAGCTGACTGGCAGTTCCACAGGCCTTCTGAAACTAGATGCTGGATCTCAGTGGAGCATGTGGGATAGACGAGAGCAGGCCGGTTATATCGATTAGGAGATACACAGGGCCAGTGATAATTGCGAGAAGACACATGAACAGGAATGGAGAAAATACACATGATTATAGCCTGAGGGGCTAAACAACCAAATAAAATAAAACACCAGCGATACTTAGCTCAATCAAAGTAGGATTTGCCTCCTCTTTGCCTCCCTCGTGACTCCCGCAGGACTCCAATGTCTTTGCCAGTCTTTGACTCCCGCAGGACTCCAATGTCTTTGCCAGTCTTTGACTCCCGCAGGACTCCAATGTCTTTGCCAGTCTTTGACTCCCGCAGGACTCCAATGTCTTTGCCAGTCTTTGACTCCCGCAGGACTCCAATGTCTTTGCCTGTCTGACGCTGAAGCTGACGCTCCAGAAAAGTGCTACCTAAAATGGACACCTGATTGCTGAGTTCTCACAGATGTGGGGCCACGCCCCTTTAATTAGTTAACTCTCTGCAGCTGGTGGCCCTCAAAAGGAAATCGAGACTGGCTCCCTCCTGAGTTGTTATTGTGTATTTTCAGTGGCCCAATGGTTTTACAATTACATTAAATCCTAAGTTATAAAGTTATGAGTTTAACCCTTAATACAGTTACACCTACTCAATAAAGCTCTTAGTATTCTACAAATGTTTAAATCAAAGTTAACCCTAGCAGTCAGTTAGTTCAGTTTTAAAGTTTCAGTCAAATGACTTGTCCCAAGTTTCTGTCTGACAGATACTGTAGCGGTTTTGAGATTTAAAAACACAATTCCAGTCAGATCAACTACAGAGCATTTATACAGAGTACACACACTGAAACAGAGAAGTCTAAAAACAGAATGTTACTCACACAATTCTAGAAGTCACCAGTTGTTATCCTGTTAAAATGGAGTTGCACCTACAGGTTAACTAGTTACATTACCTGCAGGAGTCGAATCACGTGCCCCTGCACGTCGTCTGCGTTCAATTAACCCCTTGACTGCCTCACAGTTCTCTGATGTTTTTAATGCTTCCCTGATCTGTAAATTAGAGGTGAACTGTGTTTTTAGTGCGGATGAGCTTATCTCCATGTTTGACTCGACATGTACCCTAATACTGGATTCTGTTGCTCCTTTTACGCTTAGACGCAACAAAGTTCTCTCAGAGCCGTGGCTCAATGACTGTACTCGCGCTCTTAAATGCGCTTGCAGGCGTGCAGAGAGAAAATGGAAAAAGGATAAACTCCACCATGTCTCCTTAGAAATCCTTCGTGCTTGCCTTTCCGTTTATCAGACGGCAGTCAAAGCCAAAACAGAGCACATTTCTCTGTTAATCTCCAAAAACAGCCATAAACCTCAGGTTCTTTTTAATGTCCTCGACTCGATCATTAATCCTTGTGATGCCTCTCCAATTGTGCCATCGACTACTCTCTGCGATACATTTCTTACATTTTTTATTGAAGAAGTATCTGCTCTAAGGCTAGCCTATACTAGTGCTACCCCAGATCCTGCTCCCTTTCTGTGCCCTGTTGTCCTCGACCATTTTGAGCCTGTATCCCTCTCTTCTCTCTCGGATGTAGTAAAGCACCTGCGGCCGACAAACTGCACCTCAGACAGCATTCCCTCTCACTTCCTTAGAGATGTTTTTGAATCAGTTGGAGCAAGTATTTTTTTTGTCCTGGTGCTGTTGGACCTGACAGCTGCCTTTGACACTCTGGATCATAGCATCCTGTTGTCACGGCTTGACAACGGCAGTCCGCAGGCATTACAGGCTCTGCCTTTGCATGGTTCAGGTCCTACCTGACAGACCGTAGCCTCTCAGTGCAGTTAGGTGCCTTCTCCTCTGCCAAAGCCCCTCTTACCTGTGGGGTTCCCCAAGGCTCGATTCTGGGCCCCATCCTTTTTCTACTGTACATACTGCCCCTAGGTTCAATTCTCACAAAACACAACATCCCTTTCCACTGCTACGCCGACGATGTACAGATCTATCTGCCACTCAATTCAAATTTCAACTCATTACAGCTATTGATGAACTGCTTAGCAGAGATCAAATCCTGGCTGAGCCAACATTTCCTCAACGTCAATGAGAGCAAGACTGAGGTTATCTTTTTTGGACCCCGACCTCCAGCCTCCCAGGTTGATATTCTGGGCTCCCTCAAAAATAATATCCTCCCCTCTGTTATGAACCTTGGAGTGACCTTCACTAGCACTTTTAAATTTGATAAACAGGTCAGCAGCGTAGTCAAAACCTGCTTTTTTAAAATACGACTATTGGCTAAGACCAAGTAGTTTTTATCTTTTAAAGACCTAGAAAGGGTTATTAACGCCTTTGTTACCTCGAGGTTGGATTACTGCAACGCTCTATACGTGGGTATGGACCAGGCGTCAATTAAACGCCTACAGCAAGTGCACGTCTACTCACTGGCCATAAAAAGCGTGACCATATCACCCCAATTCTGGCTTCATTGCACTGGCTTCCAGTTCGGTTCAGAATTGATTTTAAACTCCTTTTATTTGTTTTTAAAGCCCTAAATGGGCTGGCTCCTCCGGCCTATGTAGCAGAACCCCTCCATCGCTACACCCCAGCCAGAGCTTTAAGGTCGGCTGACCAGCTGCTGTTGATAGTGCCTAAGACCAGGCTCAAAACCCTAGGGCACCGAGCCTTCGCAGCAGCTGGCCCCAGGCTCTGGAACACTCTTCCCCTCCATGTTGCCCATATAAGCGGAGCACCCCTTTTGTGACGTAGAAAATAATTCAAATCTGGATCAGTTTGTATCAGATCCGTTGCAGCCCCGTTTTTAGAGATTTGGGTATGGAGGAAAATAGAGAGGATTGTGTTTTCTGACACTTGGTGAGTTCCCTGACACACAGGGACACATCTTCATATATAAAAGACGTACAAAAGTGCATTTTGCATGATAGGTCCCCTTTAAATAGAACGGCAGGTTTGGGAGAACGTGATTGGTTTTTAGAGGGACGAGGCTTGTCAAGTGTAATTGTTTCATTGGTGCTCGAGTTGACTGCCTGAACTAGCTCGCAGGCTTCGCCCCAGTTATGTTAACTTGTGGGGTAACTAGTACCTTTACCTACTGGTTAGCAAGTGACCTTCCCTGCAGATTGACTAGTTGTCGGTTGGTTATATAGTTATCTCTATAACTAGCTGTCAGCGGAACAAAACTGACCATGGATATTTTGTCTCCTGGTCTCAGATGGCGGAGGCCCGCGGCGTCCCCCGTGGAAACTATGATGGTCCGGTCCATGATGTCATCATGATGACTGAATTGGTCCCGCCCACCCCGACCACCAGGGGGCCGCCCTGCCCGAAAACCCAGACCAGCCTCCGAAATCTCCACCAATCCGGATTCACGCTGGCAGGTAGAGTAACAGACACACACTCTAACACACACACACACACACACACACACCAACACACACATACACACGCTAACACACACTAACACCCACGCACACTAACACACAAACACGCACTAACACACACACACTAACACACACACACTCACTCACTCACTCACTCATACTAACACACACATACTCACACACACACACTCACACACACACTCACTCACTCATACTCACTCAAACACTCACAGCTGTTCTCCTCTCCACAGGGGGTCAGGTAGACGACCACCTCCCTCTGCGCTCCTACCAGAGAGTCATGGCTCCTCCCGGTGGACGCTCCTCCTTCTCCTCCTTATCTTAGAGAGTGAACAACACACTGAACCCTGCAGTCAGTATACTTCAAGTAGTACTGATTGGACCTCCTGATAGAATACTTCAAAAAGTACTCCTTCCAACTGCTACTTAACCCTTCTGGAGTAGTAATTCAACTAATACTAAATATATATGTAGTACTACATCCTTAAACTAATACTACAACCCTACAAATACTAACAAATCCTACAACAACCTCTCATGTACAGTACATAAGCCGTGTTCACACCGCAGTACTTTTCCCACTTTAGTTCCGATATAGTTCCGAAATGTCGCGTTCACACCAAAAAGAGCCGGAACTAAAATTAGTTCATGAGAACCTTTTCACCCCCTTTTCCGTCCCTGTTAGAGAGCAGGGACTTTCGTGGGAGAAAAAGGTTCCTGTGTCTGATTGGCTGGAAGGATTGCAGACCACGCCCCGTAAAACCCCCAAAAAGTTTTGTGAAGCCGCCATTTCATTTCCTCGCATTAGCATTAGCATTAGCCCAGCGCAGAAACGCAGAGAGAATAACTTATGGCAACACAAAATAAAACATGGGAGCGGTGGAGATGAGGAGGTGTCGGCGTTCTAGCGATTTACTCGGAAGGCTTCAGTAGAAGCTGCTGGGAGTCCCAGCAGCTTCTACTGAAGCCTTCCCCAACTCCGGGGACTTCCGGCCGGGGACTTTGGGTGGCAGTATACGCCGTGAAGTGGTTTGCGGCCTGCCAGTAAACCCAAAGCAGAAGAAGAAGAAGTGACGTCAGCGGCTTCATTTGCCTAATCCTCCCTCAGGGACTTATTCCGGTGTGAACGCGATCTGAACTTAGTTCATGAGAACTAAAGAGTTCACATGAACCTTTGTGGGAAAAGTACTGCGGTGTGAACGCGTCTATTGTAACTGTAGTACTTTAAATACCACTGAACCCAACAACACCTCTACAAATACTGCTACACTCCTCATTAACTGTGTACTGAATCCTACACATACTGTACTTCTACAGCAGTAGTACTCAATCCTACAATAATGGTACTTTAACTAATACTTACAGTTGTTGGTGTCTTTTCTCAAGGCATGCTGTGTGCATGTACTCGTAAAACTGCATCCTGTCCCCTAACCCCACTGTGCTCTGATACATGTAGTAGTAGTAGTAGTAGTAGTAGTAGTAGTAGTAGTAGTAGTAGTAGTAGTAGTAGTAGTAGTAGTAGTAGTAGCAGTAGTAGCAGTAGTAGTAGTAGTAGTAGTAGTAGTAGTAGTAGTAGTAGTAGTAGTAGTAGTAGTAGTAGTATAAGTATTAATAGTATAAGTACCTGAATGAATACTCCCAGTACTCCCTGTTCATCTGGAAACCCAGCGGGTATAAAAGAACTACCAGGATACTGCGTTACTGAGTATTACTGAGTGTTACTGAGTATCACTGAGTATCACTGAGTATTACTGAGTATCACTGAGTATTACTGAGTATTACTGAGTATCCCTGAGTATCACTGAGTATTACTGAGTATTACTGAGTATCCCTGAGTATCACTGAGTATTACTGAGTATCACTGAGTATTACTGAGTGTTACTAATACCTGTTAGTCCTTTATAATATACTACCTGTTTACTTGTATATGATGTTACTAATACTCTGGTACCTCTGCTGCTCTGACCTACTTTTATATATCTATTTTATAATGTTTATACTGAAACTCTTCTGACTGCTGGAACATGAATACCCCCCCCTGTAGGACCTCTGAGCCCTGTATGACCTATGGTGACCCCTGTATGACCTCTGGTGACCCCTGTATGACCTCTGATCCCTGTATGACTCCCCCCCCCCACCCTGAAGGACCTCTGACCCCTGTATGACCTATGGTGACCCCTGTATGACCTCTGATCCCTGTATGACTCCCCCCCCCCCCCCCAAAGGACCTCTGACCCCTGTATGGCCTATGGTGACCCCTGTATGACCTCTGATCCCTGTATGACTCCCCCCCCCATGACGGTTTTGTATCTGCAGCGTCAGAGATCGTAAGCTTCGCCGTCGGCCATGTTGGCTCCAGTGTGTTGCTATGGTAACGCCGTGTCTCTGAAGGGTTTAGTCCTCCAAGACACGTTTCCATGGTGAATCTGGTGTTGTTGTTGTTGTTATTATTGTTTTAGTGTTAACTGAGCTGTATGAATAAACTGTGAAGAAAAACCCATCAGAGTGAGATCTCCTGTTATTGATAAGAAACATAAACAACAACAAGAATAATGTAACGCTGCCCCCCCCCCTGAGAGCACTGCCCCCCCCCCACCTGAGAGCACTGCCCCCCCCCCCCACCTGAGAGCAACTGAGAGCAATGCCCCCCCCCCCCCCCCCCCCACCTGAGAGCACCTGAGAGCACTGCCCCCCCCCCCCCACCTGAGAGCACCTGAGATCACCAGACAACAGGTGAAACTGCACATCATCTCCAGGACGGAGCTGCCCTCCATCTTCTATACTCCCAGCGGCTCAGGAAGAAAGCCCTCAAGATTATCAAAGACCCCCATCACCTCAGACACAAACTGTTCAGTCTGCTGCCGTCTGGCAGGCGCTACCGCAGCATCCGGACTAAAACCACCAGACTCAGAGACAGCATCCGGACTAAAACCACCAGACTCAGGGACAGTTTCAGTACTAAAACCAACAGACTCAGAGACAGCATCCGGACTAAAACCACCAGACTCAGGGACAGTTTCAGTACTAAAACCACCAGACTCAGACACAGCATCCGGACTAAAACCACCAGACTCAGAGACAGCATCCGGACTAAAACCACCAGACTCAGAGACAGTTTCAGGACTAAAACCACCAGACTCAGAGACAGTTTCAGGACTAAAACCACCAGACTCGGAGACAGTTTCAGGACTAAAACCACCAGACTCAGAGACAGTTTCAGATCTAAAACCACCAGACTCAGGAACAGTTTCAGGTCTAAAACCACCAGACTCAGAGACAGTTTCAGGACTAAAACCACCAGACTCAGAGACAGTTTCAGGTCTAAAACCACCAGACTCAGAGACAGCATCCGGACTAAAACCACCAGACTCAGGGACAGTTTCAGGACTAAAACCACCAGACTCAGGGACAGTTTCAGGACTAAAACCACCAGACTCAGAGACAGTTTCAGGACTAAAACCACCAGACTCAGAGACAGTTTCAGGACTAAAACCACCAGACTAAGGGACCGTTTCAGGACTAAAACCACCAGACTCAGGGACAGTTTCAGGACTAAAACCACCAGACTAAGGGACAGCATCCAGACTAAAACCACCAGACTAAGGGACAGTTTCAGGACTAAAACCACCAGACTCAGAGACAGTTTCAGGACTAAAACCACCAGACTCAGGGACAGTTTCAGGACTAAAACCACCAGACTCAGAGACAGTTTCAGGACTAAAACCACCAGACTCAGAGACAGTTTCAGGTCTAAAACCACCAGACTCAGGGACAGTTTCAGGACTAAAACCACCAGACTCAGAGACAGTTTCAGGACTAAAACCACCAGACTCAGGGACAGTTTCAGGACTAAAACCACCAGACTCAGAGACAGTTTCAGGACTAAAACCACCAGACTCAGAGACAGTTTCAGGTCTAAAACCACCAGACTCAGAGACAGTTTCAGGACTAAAACCACCAGACTCAGGAACAGTTTCAGGACTAAAACCACCAGACTCAGAGACAGTTTCAGGACTAAAACCACCAGACTCAGAGACAGTTTCAGGTCTTAAACCACCAGACTCAGAGACAGTTTCAGGACTAAAACCACCAGACTCAGAGACAGTTTCAGGTCTAAAACCACCAGACTCAGGGACAGTTTCAGGTCTAAAACCTCCAGACTCAGAGACAGTTTCAGGACTAAAACCACCAGACTCAGGAACAGTTTCAGGTCTAAAACCACCAGACTCAGAGACAGTTTCAGGTCTAAAACCTCCAGACTCAGAGACAGCTTCAGGACTAAAACCACCAGACTCAGAGACAGTTTCAGGACTAAAACCACCAGACTCAGAGACAGTTTCAGGACTAAAACCACCAGACTCAGGGACAGTTTCAGGACTAAAACCACCAGACTCAGAGACAGTTTCAGGACTAAAACCACCAGACTCAGAGACAGTTTCAGGACTAAAACCACCAGACTCAGAGACGGTTTCAGGTCTTACACCACCAGACTCAGAGACAGTTTCAGGACTAAAACCACCAGACTCAGAGACAGTTTCAGGTCTAAAACCACCAGACTCAGGGACAGTTTCAGGTCTAAAACTTCCAGACTCAGAGACAGTTTCAGGTCTAAAACCACCAGACTCAGAGACAGTTTCAGGACTAAAACCACCAGACTCAGGAACAGTTTCAGGTCTAAATCCACCAGACTCAGAGACAGTTTCAGGTCTAAAACCTCCAGACTCAGAGACAGCTTCAGGACTAAAACAACCAGACTCAGAGACAGTTTCAGGACTAAAACCACCAGACTCAGAGACAGTTTCAGGTCTAAAACCTCCAGACTCAGGAACAGTTTCAGGTCTAAAACCACCAGACTCAGAGACAGTTTCAGGACTAAAACCACCAGACTCAGGGACAGTTTCAGGTCTAAAACCACCAGACTCAGAGACAGTTTCAGGACTAAAACCTCCAGACTCAGAGACAGTTTTAGGTCTAAAACCACCAGACTCAGAGACAGTTTCAGGACTAAAACCACCAGACTCAGAGACAGTTTCAGGACTAAAACCACCAGACTAAGGGACAGTTTCAGGACTAAAACCACCAAACTCAGGGACAGTTTCAGGACTAAAACCACCAGACTAAGGGACATCATCCAGACTAAAACCACCAGACTAAGGGACAGTTTCAGGACTAAAACCACCAGACTCAGAGACAGTTTCAGGACTAAAACCACCAGACTCAGAGACAGTTTCAGGACTAAAACCACCAGACTCAGGAACAGTTTCAGGACTAAAACCACCAGACTAAGGGACAGTTTCAGGACTAAAACCACCAGACTCAGGGACAGTTTCAGGACTAAAACCACCAGACTAAGGGACAGCATCCAGACTGAAACCACCAGACTAAGGGACAGTTTCAGGACTAAAACCACCAGACTCAGAGACAGTTTCAGGACTAAAACCACCAGACTCAGGGACAGTTTCAGGACGAAAACCACCAGACTCAGAGACAGTTTCAGGACTAAAACCACCAGACTCAGAGACAGTTTCAGGTCTAAAACCACCAGACTCAGGGACAGTTTCAGGACTAAAACCACCAGACTCAGAGACAGTTTCAGGACTAAAACCACCAGACTCAGGGACAGTTTCAGGACTAAAACCACTAGACTCAGAGACAGTTTCAGGACTAAAACCACCAGACTCAGAGACAGTTTCAGGTCTAAAACCA